CAATTGAATACCGAGTTGTTGCGATTGAGCTTAACTTGAGGAGGTTGTCGAATGCATAGGGGCCGCCCTCGGATTTAGAGAGCTGCCTAGAAGGTGTGGAGTTGCATCAATTCCTTCTTTGTGCGGTTTTAAACGTATCAGCCGAGTGATTCCTTAGGATGCGAATTCACAAAGCCGCCAAACTGCCGCGACTGCGTGCTCGGCAGCCTTTGATAGGCATGCAACTATTCGTTAGCTCCACTGCAGTACAGCATTCCAGTGTGCCTTCTTGCCTCATTGACCGGAGCAGATGCTGGGCACGACTTAAGGACAGACTGTTTTCACCACTCAACGAGTGTGCACAAGCAAGGCGGTAAGGTGAACTCGAACTCGCAAACTGACTGGTGCAGATGGTCGGCAACACTGTCACTGTCGCCATCCTGCTAATTGACAGCTGCGAATTGGCCTCGACCTGAGTGGTGAACTGGACATGCGGCATTAGTGATGAGGACGGGCTGAGCGATGGACCACAGTTCCGTAGTGTTCAGTTAATTGGTCAGTGTGCGGGCAGAAGCCTGACAAAGATGGGAGGAAGAACAACGTTGTGAGGCAGCAAACACGTGTGGCATAGTGGTCGTGCGAAAAATGTCAACTGACTGTGTCATGGCTGCTTGTGCAATGTTCCATCTTAGCCCTGAGAAGAGCAGTGTATTGAGGCATGAGGATCACGCTTTCCAAAAGCACCTGCTGGAGGATTGTGGCGAGAAAGATAGCAAATGGTGCAACAGCACCGCGATGACAGGTAGAAGGGAGAGTGCGACTGTGACCATAACCCAAGTTCGTGCGGAGTTGTGGTTGTTGCAAAGACCCTAGAAGTGACCGTGTTATGTGTTCTTTTGTTACCAGTTGGGAATTCGTCCTGGCGCTTAACCATTGCCACCTCCTATGTGCCACATTTCTGCACCGCTTTGCCCTACTCCAGCACGCAGCTCTACTACTACTTCGTCCGTATTTACGAACAATTCGACAGTTATGTGGAGCATCGCTTCGGCCCAATGAAGGTGAGCATGGAATGCATTTCATCATGCCAAGATATGCTGTGGCACCACAGACTTGAGCTAATTCACTGAGAAGGCTTTGGGCACACCGCCAAAATTTGTTGGCGCAATTGCCTCGGTCACTGCTTGATCACTGTGAAGAGACGCTGGGGTCGACCATGTCCAACACCGCGGACAGATGCTCCACTGTTGTGGACGATTGTGCGCATGGGTGGGGGTAGCCGCAACTCTTATGTCAACCCTCGTCTCGTGGATGACCACTAAGGCTTAAGCGTTAAAAATGCGTCCATGCGGGGACGTAATTCTGGTGACAATTTGGACCAAGACTGTGTGTGGAACATAGTGTGGCCGAGACCACCGCCAACCTGCAGATGGATGAATGTTCTTAAATTGCCGACCCTATGCATCCAGATGTGACGCCCTTTATGCTGCGATGCTCTGTGCCAGTACCACCGCTGTCGCCCTCCGTGCTGACATAGGCGGTCCATCGCCACTGAAGCCTTAGCTGGAAGTG